GAAATAAGCCAGAAAGAGAAAGACAAACACTGTATGATCTCACTCATACGTGGAAAATAAACCAACACATGGACAGAGAAAACTGTATTGTGGTTACCAGGGGCAATGGGGGAGGGGGATGGGCACAAGGGGTGAAGGGAGACATGTATATGGTGATGGACAAACAAAAATGTACAACCCAAAATTTCACAATGTTATAAACTATTAAAACATTAATTAAAAAAAAAGTGTCTTTCTGCTTACTGGTACTCAACTTTTCATCTTAAGAAGGGAAAATGGCAAGCCAGAGTTACCTTGTGAAGTGTGTGTTTCCGAGTAGTGTTCGCCACACTGCACGTGCATGGGAGGCAAGATGTACGGCTGCTGCCGGGGCTGAAACAGAGAACACAGCATAGGTGGCGGAGGCCTTGGCACAAGTGGCTGTCAACTCTCACAGAGAACCAGCCCAAGCACACGACAGTCCCTGTCACTCACCCATATCCGCAGGGAAGCACGCTGGCTGCTCTGCCTGCCCACCCTCGACCCACCCCTCGTCTACTCATCTGTACCCCCGTCTCATCACTAAGGTTAGGATTGGAGAAACAAGAAGGGAGAAGGCAGGAGGCTGGTCAAGGTGAGAAAGAGAAAAAGGCTACAATTAACATGAATGTACCTATTTACAATCTATTTTCTAATACATTTGCAAAGCCCCCAATGCCTTTTTTAAAGAATAACTCAGAACACGTATATTATTATAGTCCACCTACGAAATAATGAGAATGAGGGGGAACCCTGTTTAATTCTATTCAAAATTGGCTCCTTCCTGGAGCCACAAGCTCGTACACATCAGCACAGCTGTACCTATGACTCTAGTTCACAGCGCCACGTCAACCTCGAACAGGGACCGAGGGAGTGTTAAGCTAGGTCCACTTGCAAATTTATATAAAAGTCTAAAATGTGATCCACAACAATGACCATTTGTTGACCCTCCCATTGCAGAACCAAATGTGGAAAGGCCTTGCTGACAATCCAGCTCAACCATTATCCCTTCACTGAACAATCTTTTCTGTAAGACTCTTCAAGATGGCCATTTAGACTCAACCTGAATAACTTCCTGCTGCAGATGAGGGTAAAACATTTTAGAGAAAAAAAAATGCTTAGATAGGTTCAATATGTGGTGAGCCAACCAAGGAAATACGGTTAGTCCCTAATGTGATCTAGAGCAAGTCATTTAACTTCGGTAGGTCTCAGCTTCCTGTCAATCAAATCAAGCCTCTTCCCGCCCCCTACCTCAAACATTTATATATTGGGGTTCCAGGTTAGAGTTTATTTGAAGAAAGAGTTTTGAGGTTAAAAATTAAAAAAAAAACTTTAAATTTGTAAACCACCAAACAGGATGCTCTCTTATATTTCTATTTGATTATTTTTAAATTAGCCTTATAGATATTAGTTTAAATGTTACTGCTTTAGGAGAGAAGCTGAGATCAAGCCCAAAAAACCCAAAGCCAGCAGGGGTCACAGTTTCTCAGTACCCCCCAACAGAAGAACACTCGCCAGAGTTTGAAGCTGGGTAAATAACTCATCTACCATTTCCCCTGCCACAAATAATGCTTAAGCATCAAAAGGGCAAATAAAGAACGTAATGAAGACAAGGGACCCAAAAATTAAAAAGAATCGGGGAGAAGAAATAAAGAATTGAAATTAACCTAAGAAAGCAGTTCAAGGTACCCAAGAAAAGGTGTCATATATCAGCTCTCCTAAGGATTCCCAAATCCCCCTCTGGCTGGTTTTTGAGTTGCAATTTAAAAATATTTTTCCTCTTCTTGGTAATACATATTTCAACTCAATTTTTCCAGAGTAGGACAGCCAGTTTTGAGGCTTTTAAAAAAAAAAACAGTGGGAAGGGATTCATACAAGGGAATAGAAAGACATGACGAGGCCACGTTGGCTCACTCCCTCTCTTACTCTTATTTTAAAAAAAAAAAAATCCAGTAAGTGACTGTTCATGAGCTGGCACATGTGTACAGGCAAAGGACAGTAAGAGCTAATCCTACAAGCACCATTTCAGGATTATATCATTTATTCCATCTCTTCATATATTCCAATATATTATTCTATTTCTTTCCAGACTGGCTAATACAGAAACAAATTAGATGCCATAAACTAGGCAGCAGACGGGCAGGAGAACAGCAGCAATCAGCAGTCACAGTTATCAGCAGGAAGCCAAAAGGAGACAATGTTATCTGGTTTTACTCTCACTCATCCCAAGGAACTTTTGGTGAAATGGTTTAATCTTAAAAGCGGCAGAGGAAGGGGAGAAGCCATGAATCTGGCTTCCTGTAGATTGTCTTCATCCAAATAAAATAGGAAAGCCTCTGTGTCTTCTCTAGATAATTAGGATGAGATCAAATCACAAGATAGTCTTAAAACACTTTGCCTCCCATGGCCGTTTCATGGACATAAGGGAATAATTAGCTCACTAATGAAGACATGGGGACTCTAAAGAAGGGAAAAGGAAAATAATATTAACAATCCGAAGAATAAAGAAACCAGTGCCATGAACAAATCTATTGGCGCTTAGAGGGAAAAGCCCAATGTGACCTCTAGATCTCCCAGGCAAAGGCTACTTGTGAGAGATTGAGCATAATATCGAGATTACTACTATTAACATAGGTACTCAGGAGTTATTCTTTGATGATATAATGGCCCAACTCTAAGAGTTCATGTCTATGCATTTTCCAGAAAAAAAAATTCCCAAAACTTCCCTTTTAAAGATGTGCTATAGTTTATATACTGTGTATGAAAAAAATTTAATTTTAGTCTCCTATTAACTTGAAGGAACTATTTACCCAGAAAAATGTAAAGGCTACATGTTTGATCCTGTTTAAAAAATCATAACCTAAAATAAAATAATTATGATTTAAAATGAGTAGATACTTTAAAGGAAGCCAACTCTCCCACATCTTTTTTTTTTTTTTTTGTGAGGAAGATCAGCCCTGAGGTAACATCCATGCCAATCCTCCTCTTTTTGCTGAGGAAGACCAGCCCTGAGCTAACACCTATTGCCAATCCTCCTCCTTTTTTATTTCCCTTTTTCTCCCCAAAGCCCCAGTAGACAGTTGTATGTCATAGCTGCACATCTTTCTAGTTGCTGTATGTGGGATGCGGCCTCAGCATGGCTGGACAAGTGGTGCGTCAGTGCGCGCCCGGGATCCGAACCCAGGCCACCAATAGTGGAGTGCGCGCGCTTAACTGCTAAGCCACAGGGCTGGCCCCCCTTTCTTTGATATTATCCTTGAGTAATCCTCAATATAAAACACAGCCCAAGACAGAACATATGTATTGAAATTAGAGTTGCCATTTCCTTATTCAGATGATGAGGAAAGCAATTAAAAAAAAGAAAAGGCTAACGTTAGATAGAAAAGTGGATCAATTCAAATTTTATTGGCCTTAAAATTAGAAAATGTGCAATTAATCTTCCCACCAAATACTCTACCTGAGATCATCAACTAGACTCATTCAATTCTTGCTCATTTAAAACACATTTTCTGACTAGTTTATTCAGCTCTAGCTATGGCAGTGAAGACAAAAGAATCTGTGGAGCTTATAACTGAAGACATGTCCATACGCAACAACCACAAAGAATGATAAAGCAAGTAGATAAAAACACACAATAGGTTGCATGCTGAAGAAAGATGGTTTCCTCAGCCTGGAATAAGACTCGTTGGGGTGACCCTTGAGCTGCACTTACAGAAGTGATGGGCATGGGTGGGCATAAGAGGGACCAAATGCATGTGCATCACCCCTGCTTGGCAGACTGATGCCCTTCTGTGTTCTCACCAGATCTTGCCTAGTTATGATGCTCTGGTCACCTCTCCCCTCAAATTATCCCTAACCGTCAGACTACTCGATAAGGGAAGATTTTATACATACCAGGGAGGATCGGCTCCAGGTGGGCTGGCGTCTGATAGGGGGTGGAGAATTTGACTGTCTACATGAAAAGTTGAAAAAATGAGAAAAGTTAGTATTATTTACCAGATGCAAGAAGACCAGACAGGCGAGAGAAAGAGAAGAGGAGAAAATAGACAAGATAAGTAAGACTTATAGCAAAACATAATTTCTGGGTGGTGAAGCTAAGAAAAATTTCGATTTCCTTTTTTATTCTTTTCTTTATTTTCAAAAGGTTTGGAACATATGATACTTTTAAAATAAGTTGTACAAAGTAATGTTAAAAGAATGAGGCTTATTTCTAAAGAAAGATTATAAGGGAAATTAAAATCGATGCCTGTCTTTTAGAGGTCCGAGAGTGGAGCCCTCTGGAGAAGGATGCTGTTATGATGATGCTAGTTTCATAAAACTCCAGAGTGATATCCCAGGCCTTCAGGTAGCCTGTGCTGAGACTCTGAAACTGTATACAGAACGTACCGTGTATGTGTGTGGGGTGTGTGTGTGTACTTTTTAGAGAGTCCCAGTTTTTATCAGATAAGAGGCTAGGAACCTCCCATACCTGGCTAGGAAGAAGAAAGGAATGGTTATTACAAAAGCAGAAAGGAAAAATATAATTTCCTTAGTTTGTCTGATATGTGATGTTCGCTAATATTCAAAGAAATGACCACAAAAGAAATACAAATAATGAGTATATTTTAGAATAAGGCCACTTGCTGAGAAATGGTCAAACCAGAAGACTACAGTGAAATTCACTTCTCAAAATAGTTTTTTTTAATTCCCCCTACAGAAGTCGACTATAGAATTCTTGTTAGTGTCACAGACACCCCCACAAACCAAAGGCAACAGCAGAACAGAACTGCAAAATGACCTATAGGTAACCTGTTCAAAGGAATGGCATGTGAGTGTGCGTACGTGCGTGCATGTGCGAGTCCATAAGATAGATATGGCTGCTTAATTTGCCACTCCTTGATCAGTGCTCTTCTGACCACATTTGCAAACTTTGCAGGCAGACCTAATAGGATCAAATATACTTTCAGACTCTGCCAGTGACCAATGGCAGCAACTGGTTTGAAAGAGCCTCCATTATGTAGAGAAAAAAGTCTGCCAGGACCCGATGCTCCAGTTCTAAAGCAGGACCTACTCTGGGACAATACTTTCACACTCTTGGATGTGTCCACTAGGGGAGTGGAAAAGCAGTTCTTCTCTTGCATTTACATCCCCGAAGCTCTTTGAAACAAAATTAAACACCTTGGGCACCCCAACTGCTGATGTACTCTGCTGAGGAACGTCTTTTGAAGGCAACCAGGTAAAGGCAATGACAGTGTAAGCCCCAGCACGCTATATCCAAGGTCAGACGACATTTAAGTTCCCTCATCAGACGCCCATTATCATCTTTATTTCCAAATTAAATTAAAAAACACACATGGATTTGTGACATCCATTAGTGTCTTCCAAGTCTTCCTCTAATTACCCTGGCCTCTCATTTACAGGCAGATGACATGACCCAGAAGCACACGCAGGGTTAGCCAACTGTGTAAGCGAAACGGGGCTGAGGATGACAGGAGCTTCTTCTCTTTCAAGTTGGCTCGTCACTCTGTTACACACTTCTGAACCTACTCCACATCTGACACGAAGGGGCACCCTGGCAAATTGGGAACTGCTCAGCAACTCCAAACTCATAGCAGAGGTTGGAAAGGCACTAATGTGGGCCAACCCATCCAGGTAGTCAAGCACTCACAGTCAATTTGTGAATTATCTTCTCTCTAGGCACACGTACTACACTAGACAGTCTTTATCATTAAAGTTCTTTCACTCCTGCCCGGCTGTAGCTTACTCCTTTAGCTTCTACAAGGAACGAGGGAAAAAAGTGAATGGAAAAAGCAATCTACACATCCCTAAAGCACGTGAATTTAATCTGACCAAGCCATCTAGTGAGAGGGTGGACTACATGTTTACTCACTCAGTGCAGATTTTGTTTTGTTTGTAAAACTTGTGCCTTGTAGCAAACAACCGAGAAATATACTTGGCATTTTCGATATCATCCTGGGAAGAGACAGAAAAAATAAACATCTGTTCCATGATACATACATTTCACTAAGATTTCTCTGAGCAAGGGCACATCCCTTCCTCCCTTCACATCAAGCAGAAAATAATAGGCTGAACCACAAACTAATGTGCTGAAATTCAGCGGCAGCCATGCCTACAAAGCCCACTACAGGATGGCAGACAATACTGTCTGCTAAAGAATCCTTTATGCCTGGGGCCGGCCCTGTGGCCTAGTGGTTAAGTTCCGTGAGCTCCGCTTCAGCAGCCCAGGTTCACAGGTTCAGATCCCAGGCACAGACCTACACCACTTGTCAGCCATGCTGTGGTGGCGACCCACATATAAAATAGAGGAAGACTGGTACAGATGTTAGCTCAGGATAAATCTTTCTCACCAAGAAAAAAAAAAAAAGAATCCTTTATGCCCAAGGTGCTGGGGTTACGCTGATGAATGGGCATGTCTGCACATAATTCCAAACCAAGTGTTTTAAAAATAAATGAATCAAGGCAGAGCATGGAATGAACACCAAGCATCATTAAATGAGAGCCAGTGAGGTGCATGAACTGCCTTGGCTCTCGAGGAGCCACTCAACAGAAGGGCCATCACTCAGTTTACTTCAGATTAGGCTTGGGCTATAATGGCAAAAAAAATCCAGGTCCGCCAGCAAAAGAAAATGCCATGCAATATCATCAAGGGTTCCTTGATGCGACATGCCAGGCAACATGATCCATCATAAACAAGGCAGGTGGGGAAACCCAAATCCCAGAGTCAAAACTCAGCCTGGAATCCGGGCATTTTGAACATGAAAGCGCTGCCACTATCCTGAAATGAGTAATGGCAGCACTGGGCAAGTATTGGAAAGTTATCGGCTCAATAGAACATTTATTCTCTCAAGATACGGAGAGCAAGGAAAGGATACTATGAATTGAGAAGTCAAACAGTAAGCTGCTTGTCAGAGCCTGCCTTTGTCTGTCTGTTTTGCTTACCGTGTGGAAGAGGGCAGTCTCTTCCTTGTTGATGAGCTCCACTAGGATCGTCGACTTGTTATGAGTGATATTCCCGATGTCATTCCACCTGGTTCAAAGAAATGAAACTGTTTGCCCAAAGGCGTTCCATGCATTGATGAATCAGCGCAGCAGGGTCATCTGCTACTGTTGAGTCTCATTTTACAAATTATGATTTAACTGTATTTTTAAAGGCTAAATGTTCCTTCTCTCAAAGCAGAAAAGTAAAGAAAACCCAGCATGTATTTATTGAAATAGCTAAAAATCCTATGTAAACTATATCTAGATACCACTGTTCATGAAGTACAGCTTCCTTTATGATTAGCTATGAGGGAAATTTGCAAGGCATTTCTGCCACTTTGTTTTTCACATTTCCAAACTGACAAAGCCTTTCCTGTGATCCCTGCTCGTTAATGATGGAGGAGCATATTAATTAAAAATCGTGTGTTTCCAGGAATCTAGGCGGAAGAATCCACATGGATTCTGTGTCACAATGTACATTACAGGTTGGTTATGCCACTGAGGAAAAATGCCTGGGGAGTGTTTAATGTGCCTACATTTTTGTGATCTAGACACAGATACACACAGAATTTCCTTCCCTTTGCTCATGGAGACCTTATCTAAAATGAGATACACAGAAATCACCACTAGGCAAGGGAAGGGACGCTATTGCTTCCCATTCTACTTGGAGCCAATTTGTAACTTAACTACAATCTACTCTTCATTCTGTGCCCCAACGTATAAAAGAGGGCCCACTGCCTTTTTATTCCATTAGGCTTTCACTTATTATACTTCCATCATCTTCTGCCCAGATGATTCTGTTAAGACTCAGCTCAGGAGTCACTTTCTCCAGGAAGCCCTTCCTCATCCCCAATCACCCACATGCTAGGAAAGAACCTGGTGTAGTCCTCTATCAGTCACCACAACGTATTACAATTGTTTACTTCTGTGACTAGATTGCTAACTAAACCAAACCAGACCACAGACCCCAAACCCCGGGTAGAGATCTGCTTTCTTCACCTCTGTATTCCAAGCCCTGAGCCAAGTACCTGGCACACAGCATGCAATAAATGTTTGCTGAAAGAGTTAAAAGTAATAATATTGCTTCCCATCTGTATAGAGTTCAGTTCTTTTATCAACTCTCGAAGGTAGACAAAGCAGCTATTTTTGTTCCTTCTTTAGAGATGAGGCAATTTAGGCACAAGTGAGTACATGACTTAGCCACATTCACTATGTTCATCAGGGATGGATGAGTTCTATACCTGGGGCTTCCAGATTTTCCTCCAGTCACCTGTCCATTACAGCAGTACCAAGTGTACTTACGTATACCTCCTGGGGCCATGCCCTCTACAGGTGCACAGCACAGCTGCTGCTGATTTACAATCCCATCAGATTACATCTACACAGACTCATAGCTACACGCTCCTTGGTGAAGGTCCCTAGAGATAAGAGATATTTGGTTTCCTCTGGCTCTATTCCTTCAAATCAACTCCAAAACTCTGGAGCCACTCCTCACTCCACCCTATGACTTCACCTAGTGGCATAATTAACATGACACTACAGTAAAAATAAATTCCCATCCTGTAGGGGTTTCAAGAGAAGTGCTAAAGGAAGAGGTCTGGAAACTGAACAAAACCTGTGAGTGGCTTATGATGAGCAAACTTTCAAATTGCTGTTTTCTATTTAACCTCGATAGTTGGAATGCAAGACATGTCTACTTCTCTTCTCCAGGCTCAAGGAGAAAATGAACCATTGACTTAGCTCTGGAGAACTGTGTGGGACAAAATGCCTGCTTTAAATGGGCATAAAAATGTATATGACAACTCTGCACATATTTTACTCAATTAATTTATAATTTGTTGTAGGTATATGGAGTTGATTGAATATGTCCAAAAGTCAAAGAGTTTATTCTGTAGCCCCAAAGATCTTTCTTTTGATTCCTGCTTCAATAATGTCTCTATTCAAAGAGTAAGAAAAAATAAATGGACAAAAATAATGGTAGGGTGGGGACCTACGGAAATAAAAGCCAATTAGGAAGCTTTTGGTGGGAAAACTTTCTCAAAATGACCTGCAGCAACTGCTGATCCAGAGAGCACACGGCCGGCCAAGATTCACTTCCAGAAGGTGGAGCGTGTTTTGCCTCTAAGAGCTGTCTTTATGATCTGCCCTAGATGCACAGCTCTGTCAATCAGATGCATACACAGGAAAGCTGTTCTTCCAATAAATAATAGGCCATATTGCCCATGTAAATGAAAGCAAGCATGCAGTTTTTTAAGTCACTGACATTACGCTGGAATCTCTAGGCACCAACACAAAGCAAGCTCATTGACATGCAATGGGGGGGACACTCTGCCACATCCCTACACTAGTTCTATTCATGTGAAATGGAAAAGAGGAAAAAGTGTAAAATAACAAAAAGTACCAAAGACCTTTAATTTATAACAAATTGATTGCTTTTTCACAAGACACTTTCACAAACAATCCTCTTTCGTTAACATAAAAACTAGTTTGCACTCTTCTAGCACATGTGGGTAGGCAGAGGGTGCAGGACAATGGAAAGAAGCCAGCCTGGGTTTACTGACTGCTCATGGACGATCCCAGCAAAGGTAACCAGCAGGAGACTGACTGGAAAGCCCGTTTCCAACTAGACTCATAGAGTTCAGTTCCACTCTTCCGGCTCAGGGAGGTTCAACAATGCATCTCCTGGAAGCAGGTGGAAAGAAAGCTTTCCCCCAATCCCCACCCCCAAACAGCCCTCCAGGAAAAGTGAGAAGAATTTCTCCATAACGCTTAAATCTCCACAGAGGGCTGATCTTATCTGAGTTGAGAGAAGCTCAACTCTGATGATAGTCTCGCTCTTAACTCACTTGTATAACTTTCATATTCAGTGGGGTTTTCTAGAGTCCCTCGAGGGGAAAAAGGAAAAAAAGACAAATAAGACTACCTGTATATTACTCCTTGTCTTCCAATCCTGTTGCTCACAAAAATCCCCATGAAGAAGATGCCCAGGTGCACGCTATTTCCATGATTGTCCTGCATAAGATCAACAAAAGACAGCTGTGATGAAACAGATCACCAACGGCCTGGCAGAACCAAGTTCCTGGGCAGCAGCCCACTCATGGGGACCACACCCCACGTCTCGCCCATATGTGGAATGAATCACAGACAGCATGAGGGCAATAAGGCAAGCAGGTCCCGAAGGGATGCACCCTACTACACATCCTATGGACTGTGTCTTTTTTTCTTTTTTCTCACTTTGTTGCAACACATTTCCTGCTTAAGAGAGAACTTGAGGATTTTCTCAGGTTTGTTGGCAGTTGAGATTTTCTCTTTCATGAACATCTATTAATATCTTTACCTTCATTTTTGTTTTTTAAATCAAAATTATACATGCACATAGTTGGATTATATATACACATTATATATGTGCAATCATATATGCACATAGTTTGAAGACCTGAATATTTTCTAAAGCTTGTTTAAAACCTGGCACCACCATTTCCTCTCCCTTGAGGCATCAACTTCCCCCACTTAAAGCCCTAGTGTGTCTATCTGCATCCACTATGCTTGGCCTTTCAATTCAGAACCTCATGTTCCTTAGTTCTGGGATATTTTCTCGAATTACTACCTTCTGTTTCCTCTCTTCGCTCTTTTGAGAACTCCCATTATTCAGATGTTGGACATTCTGGGCTGGCCTTCTAATTTTTTTAGAGATCTGTTTTTTGGTGAGATCTTAATTTTATCTCTAACCTATGTATTTAGTTTTACATTTCTGTTTTCATATTTTTAATTTCTTAAAGTTAATTTTTATTTTCTGAATGTTCCTTTTAAAAGTACTCTATTCCTTCTACTCTATATATACACATATATTTTTAATCTCTGAGACTCAAAGGATGGTAACTTGGGTATCTTCACCCTGCCAAGTCTCCGTGTCTTCCAGGCTGTTTCATTCTCATTGCACTGGCCTCTCTAATTAGGGCATTGTGTAGGGGGATGCTTGGCTGTCTATTCATGTAACAGAGTGGGATACTAAACAATGGTTGGGAGCTTCCTGAGCACAGGAAGGGTGTGTGGACTGCAGGCTTCACTGTCAGGCAATCTGCTGGGCCCTGTGTTGGGGATACTCAGATGTTTTATCTTCAGTCTGGTCTCTTGGTCCAGTCGGGTGCTTCCAACCTCCTCCCTGGCAGAGCATAACCCAGCTGCCAGTGTTCTTGAGAGCGGAGGGGTAAGGCTCAACAACCAGGGAGTAAACTGTCACTTGGCCCCCTGCTTTCACTGAGGGGATGTCCTCTCTGTGGAGTAAGAAGAGGGCCACACACAACTAGGCCTAAGATGGCAAAGAACGACCTCTACATTCCTCAGAATATCTGATCCCCTTTAAGACACAAAGACGACAGTGTTCCTTCTCAGCGACCGCTCCTCGACCCACCTACCTAAGCTGACATTAGAACAGGAGTCTTTTAACAGGGTAAGGCTAAGACAACTGCTGGTGGCAAAAGCAGAAAGTGTTAGGAGAGAAAGAACTGGGAAGGAGGAGAAAAAAAAATACGCCCTGGTAATTCTGAGAAGTTAAAAGGTAAGGTGCACTACAGAAAAATATATGTGGACAAGAAGACAGGAGAAATGGAGAGGGGAAGAGAACGGAAAATTCTGCAGTAAGCCTTCCCTGGGCACATTGCCAGCAGATGGGTGTGGCGGTCTGGGGGTGATGGGGACACGGGAAGAGCAGTTCACCAGGGCGGGGCAACGGAAAACACACAGAACGGATGCCCCAGGCACTGCACCGGTCAATACTTAAGAGCTCCAAGGATCGAGGCTCCAGACTCTGACCCATTCCAGAAGCACCCTCCTCGTGTCCATGTGCTCTGACAATACAAGAGTGACTGAGGCAGGGGCCACACCTGTGTTTGTGGTCAGGAAATGGACTAGGACTCCTCCAGCCTTCAAAAGTTTTGAGGAACCACTCATGGAAAACCCCACACTAAATGGAAATTGTCTTCCCTAGGACACATCTGTAACATGCTTTTTTACTTTATTTGGTCAGGAAGGACCTGCCCTAACCAAAAGGGCTCCATCGCCACTTGGAGCTGGTCCCCGCGTACTTTCCTGTCTGCATTTTCACTTATCTCAGAGCTGACCATGTCACTGCCCCCACTGGTGCTGCAGTCTCACCCATCATCCTTGGGTCACCAGGAATCAGGTCACCTTAGTCATGAACAAATATGTGGGGAAAAAGAAAAAAGAAGCCGCCCAGCTAAGTTACTCAGCAGTGAGTCAGCAGTGCCTGTCTGCCCACTCAGAGTAAGGTATAGTATCCCCCTGGTACTTTTCCCACTAAAGAACATACTAGAAAGTGCATCAGAACCAAGCACAGTGGATTTCCGACACTACCTCACTTGCCCCTATTTCCCATAGTTCAGAATTACTAAAAACAACACAAGCAAAGAACCACCACCACAAAACCCCCAACTTGCAGGGACTGAGAAGTCAGTTTTCTAGAAGTGGAGAAAAGTTTACTCTGATTTTTCAATGACTCAAAATATCATGACTATATATGGCTGCTGAAATGTAAGTGGGATGCAGATGGCTTCATAAGGCATTATTGCAAGGAAAATGGCTTACAACCCTATGAAGGGCAGCCACTAGAGAAGCAAACGAAAATTAAACAAATCTAAAAAAAGAGCCATTTAGCCCTTTTCGCAAGCTGCGGCCACCCTGCTCGATTCTGCTTGATGCACATGGGCAGTTCTCATTAAGGCAAATTGCAAACGTGCAACAGAGGGGGAACAGGACACATATAAAACAGCCAGCGGAGCCAGTATGGAGTGAAATGTTTGTGCTGAAATTGCAGGCATCTCCCAAATCGCTGAAATGTGCCAGTTGCTTTAGGTTTCTGACAAAACTCCGTCTTTTGTAAAGTTGGTCAGCAGAGAGAGGAAAATGAGTCTGGATCATGGGCTGAGCTCTATAAATGACCAGACACCGTGACCCCCCCCAACCACACCCACTTCAGGAGGTGGATTTGTTGCAAAGGACGTGATGTGCTGTAACGGTTTCCTAGGCATAGTTTCCAGAAAACACGGAAGGGGTTGGAAACCCACAATGCAGACTCTATAGAGCTGGAGAAATAAAGTATGATTGCATACAGGAAATGTTTCATTCTACCTCACAATTATCCCTGTATCAGCTCAAAGAAGAAAAGAGAGAATAAGCATGGGGAAGAAAATTACTGGGTAGGGCCTTTATTAAGGCACACATGACATTAGCTACTTGTCCCTTTGTAAGACTGGACGTGTGCCTTGATGCCTTCACAGCGCCAGATGGGCTGGTGTTTGGTTCTCACTCAGACGGTTGTCTTACAAATGAGATATTCTACTGAAGACCATGGAAAACTTCAAAATCTCTTAGTTAAGAAACAGTGTTTGCTTTACCTCAAGTAAATTGGACTTGCCAACTATGCTACGCAGGAAGAAGAAAGCCACACTGTTCTGGCCCGCTGCCATCAACACTGGTTTTCCAAATGCCTGCGCCATTCTGAGAAGGCTGAAGCAAGGATAGGCCAGGTACGTTACCTTCACAGGAAAGACTTCCTGTCCAAATCCATCCAAACGTTCCACTTCGTTGATGTACATAAGCTCAGCTTCGGCTGGCAGGATTCCACTACGACCAAAAGAGCATCAGAGGAGGAAATTTAAGAGCAACAAAGTCAGTGGAAGCTCCTCTCCTCACACTGACAAACTGTAGGACTGTGGTTTAGCTCTTGTTTCTGGGAAGAGCAATCATCACCCAACTGTGAGGACATCGTGCATTACTAAGTAATTCATTAACATATTCCCCAGTAGCCTTTTACTTAACAGGGAATAATGAGAGGAAGGTGAAGTATTTAATTAAGAGCCACGGCCCTACAAACACTAAACAATTATTCCAGACACCCCTGTGAATAATGCTGCCTGCTTTAAAAAATGTTATTTTTCTCCTACCTGGGAAAAATCTCCACTGTCTTAAAAAAAAAAAAGAAAAATGAAAGAAAGAAAAAGTTCACGAGGATGATGTTTTGGGAGCTAAGTGGCCAAGACAAGAGAGCCTAGGACCACTGCATAGGTCCTCTGAGGTCGGAAGGGAAGGATGTTTGTTTTCCGTCGGTCCCAAAGAGCTCCAGGTGGCCCTGATATCAAGTTCGCAGAGCTTCCTCAAGTTAGTCTCCCTCCTTTTCCCTTTGGATCTTGACCCTCTCACCCAGAGCAGCTCTCTAGGTCTTCACTCCTAGCACAAGCAGCCCCTGGCTTCCCAGGTCTGGCAACAGATTTTTAGGAAGCTCACAGAGAGGAATTCTCCTGGCCAACAGCTCCACATATGTGCGGGCTGGTTGGCGTTAACGAAGAAAAGGGAGAGAGAAAGAAAAAAGAGAGAGCAAGAGAGAAGAAGAAAGGAGGGGGAAGGCAAGCAGCACAATTTCCAAATCCACACACCTCTCAGAACAGAGCTGAATCACACGCTGGAAGAAAGAGAACTGTGTTGACTCAAGCCCGGGGTTGGGGGGAGGGAGCCGAATGCCTCCCGCCACGGACAGGACACAGCCTGGTGCTGGGCCGGGCAGCCCCCTGCCCCTGCCTGCCTTACCTGTGGGCTTTGTGTTCTTGGGCTACTTTCTGCGTCAGCTCCTCCAGAACAGCCTCTTCCAGGGCCAAATCCTACCAAAGGAGAAAGCAGTTAAGGCCATTTATCAATTTCCTTGCAAACCTTAAAAGCTCTCTTCTGCAGAAGACGTTCCTAATCAGCCTGACTTCCTCCATCTCCCCTTCACTCCTTAGAATTAAAAGTTGTAGTTTTTAGGACTGAGGGTTCATTTTTACTTTTATAACATGGCTCTCTGCTATAACTTAGACTATTTCAAGGCATATTTTGGGTTGCCACCTAAATTCTCTAGGGCCCATGCACAGATCTTTTTTCATTTTCCTTCTTCCCTATCTGCCTGCCTCTCAGACTTACTTGTATTAACAATGCTTTGTAAGTACTTAACACGTTTTTAACTATCAGGGTATAGGCACATGAGTCTCTAGGCCACCTCCCTTCAAAAGCTGAGCCTAGGAAGGGACTGTGTCTGGCCTTTTTGTCCGCCCCCACAATACCAGCAAACTAATTCAGAGCCACCTGAAGGCAGAGCAGGCTCACTGGGATGTTACTTGACGGAGCCTTGGGAGCAGAAGAGGCCAGGCCGGCTAAAACACCTCAGGGGAGCTCTGTAAATTAACAGCTGTGTAGCTGACCAGCTGGTCTCGACCAACTGCATCCCAGGCCAATAGCAGGACCAAGGGTGTGCCGGCTCCCATGGGACTAGAGCCAATCGCAGACATCTCTTCTCAACTCCCCTTCAATAATGGTGGGAGTATTTACAGGGCTTGTTAAACAATGACCAGCAAAGCACTATCTGGGATGGAGAGAGGGAGTCTGGAGGAATAAATCCAAGACAGGAAGGCCAGAGCAATCAGTTCCCGAGACACTGACAGACATGGTGATTCTAGAGCTGGTCCCTTGTGTTGGCCCGGAAGGCTCAAGCCGTGGGGCCAGCTGCCTCCGACCTTCCCCGGTAGCAGCTTCCGGTAGCAGCTTCCACAGCCCGAGGCTAGCAAGCACCGAGGAGAACACAGACGTGCACCATTTTCCTCTGAGCTCCACAGCAGGTGTCAGAAGGGGCTCTGAGCTGTGTGCCCTGGTGAGGCCCCCTGAGGCTCACCATAGACACCGAGGGTGCGGGGACAGGGCTAATGTTTTGGAAGAAAACATTCAAAATGCCTCATTCCCTTGATTCTAAAAGACCATTTATATAAAAATTACCTCCAATTTAGCAACTTTTCAAGGATGAAACATTACCCCTAAAAAGGTACACCTCAAACCTGCAAGAAACATCCCATCTCAAATCACGAAAACGTGAAAAATCAGTATTGTTCAAAGCTGGAAAACCAGCCTTTAACTGTAAAGTAGAAATTCTATAGCTCTGCAGATGGTCCTGAGAAACCTCAAAGAAGATGGAGGGAATTACTGGCAGCCTTTATTTTTCATGTGTTAACCGATTAATTTGCTGTTTCCTTTTTAGCCATCCACTGAAATGACTCAAGTCTGTGATAGGAAATAAGCTCGACATTTTCAGTTTTATATTGTGGAGTAACAAAGATCCCACATGGCTTAGAAATTTAGCTGTGAGTGTGCATCTAGATATTGAGTACTCGTAATAACCCGACACTAATTTTGAAAAGCTAATGAAAGGCAGGTAGCAATGAATAAAATAAAGAAAGATAAGTGGAGATCAAAAAGTGCTCCATTAAACCTCTGCTTCCTACTTTCAAAGAAGAAAAAGCCCCAAGGTACCCCTCTGCTATTGTACTCAACCGCCTCCATCTGGGCCCGGGGCCTCCCTGAGGTATGTGCCCCTGCCACAGAGACGTGCGAGAGTGGCCCCACACGAATGAAAAATGGCAGAGTGCTTGCCTGTACACAGCTGCACACCTGTGGAGCGCCTGTGTACTTAACTTTGTTCTTGTCTCTGCTGCAGAAATGCCATTTGACAAATTCGGTTGCTTTATAAGATCAAACATAGCCATTCATTCCATCTTCCCTCCCCCACCAAAGGAATGCATTCTTCTCTTTGAGAGCTCTAGTGGAACCAAGCAGAAAGTTTACAACCTTCCATGGCTCCCTACTGCCTACTCAATTAGGTCAGCAGCTGGGCCTGGCATTCAGACCGTTCTCCAATGCGACCCAGTCTTCCCTTCCAGATCTCCTCTCTCAAGGGTTCAAGGCTTCAGGCAAACTTCTCTTCCTAATGCAGACTGCTTTTACATCTCCACTCACGCTCATGCTGACCCTTCCAGAAGAACCAGCCAGGCCCATCACATCATGTGAAACGTCACCCCATCCTTCAGGTCCCATGTCAGCTACCATTCCCTGGACAGGGCTTCTACTTCCCCCCCGAGCAGGATGTAAGCCTTTCCTCCTCTGGACCTGCCTCCTCTGCTCTGTGTGTGTCTCTTTTACAGCCTTTATCATAGTCTGCCTACTGTGTTTCTACATAGTTATTTGTATACTCATCCTTTACCCTTGTCTCCCTCCCTCCACTAGATTACAGGCACCTAAGTTCAGCAGTTCTTCCCCATAGCACTTCCAGGGCTATCACAGGGCTTTTATGAATGCCAGCCTATAAGCTCTCAACATACAGTAAATGACCAATAAATGTTTACTGAACTGAACTCAATGTGCAATGTGTAAGTTTCATATTGTCAAACAAGAGTTTTTAATTATGCAAAGCTGGTTAATGATAGTACCTATCACCTGTCCTCTGCTTATATTTCAAAACGCATACAGTATTGTTACCTAGAAAGCACTCTTCAGCAGATTTGTGCTTGCATAACAGAGGCAGAATAATAATGCTGATGATAATAACAATAACATGATGATGACAACTAAACAAACACTTATTTGAGAATTTACCCTGTGCCAAGTTAAGTACTTCAAATGCATTCTCTTATTTCATCCTCATAATCGGATTAGGCTTGTTATCCTCATTTTTAGATGAGAAAACGGAGGCTTTGGATAAATAACTTGTCCAAGATCGTACAGGCAGTTAGTGGCACAGCCAGGATGTGGGCACAACAGCTTGACTCCATTACTCTGAACCTCCTGACCAGAGGCCACAGGGCATACAACTGTGCACGGGTGTGTATCCCCCAGGATACAACATGGGGGAGCAGGGGAGGGGGATAAAAATACACAACTGATGGCAGAAGCCTAGGAATATTCACGATTCAGATACGAACACTGACACCAGCATCTACCACATCATCGTCAACGCTGCCCCGACAGGACTTTCTGCGATGATGGCAATGTTCTATACCTGAGCTTTCCAGTACAGCAGCCACTAGCCACGGGTGGCTACTGAGCATTTTTTAAATGTAGCTAACGTAACTGAGGAATTGAATTAATTTTATTTAGCTTTAATTCATTTAAATTGGAATGTAAATAGCTACCTGTCACTAGTAGCAACTATCCTGAAGAGGGAAGTTTTAGATCCCAGAATAACAACATCAATATTTGTCTGTCCATGGTAAGATTTAACAAAGTCTATGCTATTTAAATATCTGATTTGCCTAAAGCCCAGTGGAGACACAGTCTTATATTCTGAAAAAGGTATGATACACAAAATCACCCCTTTACTGCTATATAGCACTTTAACCTGTCAAAGCATTTTATCATCTACAAACTCATAAACATCATGCTGGTAATCACCTTTGAAAATTCTAAATAGCACCCAAGCCTGGTCTCTGCCTAAAGGTGATGTGATGAAGACCTTTAATGAGAGAAAGGTGAAAAAAAATTGTGGAAAATTATCAACCCAACTCCTTGTCCCATTTGACACAAAAATGCACACTCTCTGAAATTCTAAGGTATGAGCTTCACTTTCCCCCAGCAAGCGCACCGGAAAACATCCTGACTTTCGAGGTGAGCTGCTGAGATATTAGAGATGTTGATTCAAGCATGCTGACACCAAGTCCTATGAAGAACGTCTCTGATAAGTAACATGCTAATCTCTTTGAATGGAGGTTGGTTTAATGGATAAAATTAATAAGGCATAAAAAACAGCAGGCCCAGTTGATAATACTGCTGTTTTCTTGGAGGGAAGAAGAAGGATAGAGTTATTCACGAAAAGTTAGAGATCTGGTACTATTTTCCTAACCTATAAAAATAAGGTAAGTTTTGGACCAATTTAAATTCATCACATGCACTGATATGGATAATAATGCAGCTCTACTTATCCTACTTATCCTAGTTCAAAACTTAAAACTCAAAACCTTTGTCACCACTCTACTCTCTCCCATATGCCACAGCTGATTAGATGCCAAGGCTGCCCATTTTATTTCCAAAATATCTCTTGCTTTGCTTTCTTGTTTGTATTCACTGCTAACACCTAATTCATACCTCTTGCCAAGAACACCACAACAGATTCTCATCTGACCTCCTCCCAGAAATGGTCTCATTGCTCTAACCCAGTGGTTCTCAAAGTGTGGGGTCTGCAAACCCCTGGACGGAGCCCAGGCCTTCTAACTCCTCAGGTGTCTCAGTATCATCTGCCACCACTCCCCTCGAGCACCCTCAGCGACAGTCAGACTGGCCAGCTGACTGTTACCCCATCACTCATGCCACTTTGCCTCTGCTCCTTCTCTCTCGGTCTAGATCATTCCTTGCTCCCTACCTCTCTGCCTGCTACAATCCTGCCCATCCTTTAAGATGCAGCTCACACACCATTAGTCTTTAAACCTTCCCTAATCCCCCAAGCACAGGTAGCCTCTCCCAACATAAAATCCTGCCTGTATTTTATTACACTTGGCTTTGCATTCTGATTTTGCAAACTTTGTATTTACTCAACCACTCCGTCATCTCCCTGAGAACAAGCACTGCGTTTCTTATATAACTTCACCCCCCCGGGGGTTAGTTACCTAGGTCAGTGCTTTGGGCAAAACAGTTGAT